GCAACAGATGTGCACCAACCACGTACCAGCGGTGGTCTACACCGACTGGTTTGTTCCCTCTGTACTGATATATATATACAGTGTATATGTATATATATGTATATATATATATATGTATATATATATACATATATACATATATATGTATATATGTATATATATATACATATATATGTATATATATATACATATATATGTATATATGTATATATATATACATATATACATATATATGTATATATATATACATATATATGTATATATATATGTATATATATATATATACATATATATATATATACATATATATATACATATATATCTATATATATGTATATATGTGTATACATATATATATGTATATATATGTATACCTGACTGTGTTCCTGGTTTCTATCCTGTCTGTTGACGTATTTCAGTTCCTTCCACCTCGTCGCTGCCGTCTCTCAACTGCTGCAATTTGTGTCCTGTTATACTTCCTGTTTTTGCAAATGTTTCGCCAAACAGTCGTTAATAAACAATCAATTGAATTAATTTTTTTTTAAAAAATAGTCATTCCGACTTGAAGGATGTGACGCTTCCGTCCATTTCCTTTATAGTTATTTTTAGCCCAATGACTCATAAACCTCCTCATTTTCTGCTGTTTGTTCTGGGTTTTTATCCAGACGTTGAAGAACTGTTTCAGAGACGGTTGTTCTGTAACTGACCTCTCATTTCACTGATTCATATTTCACATCATCCATACCATATCTGTAAACTAAACAGCTGAGGATCTCTCAGTGTCAGGAGAGCTGACGTAGATATAGATCATATAGAGTTCAGCGCGATACAAATTTATTTATTTTAGTTTTAATTTAATAACAACAATCAAACCAGTTCAACAGTTGATTTCAAGTAAATTCAGGTCAAAACCATCATGACAAAGATGATAATAATAATAAATTGAAATTTATTGATCTCATATTTAAGAAGTTCTTGTGTTTACAGCAGATCTGCTGCCACCAAGTATGTGATTCCTCTGGGAATCAAACCCAGGACCTTCTGCTTCGAGACAGACGTGCTAACCGCTACACTATGGAGCCGATTGATCTGTGCTGTTATCTTATTGACCGGGTTTTTTACGTTGACTAATCTACCTGTTTACCCGATCAATCATTTCCTCTCTCTCTCTCCGTGTCAGTACAGAATCCGATCAGCCGACTTCCTCCCTCCGTCCACGGCCTCACCCTCCTCCTCCTCCACCTCTTTCTCCTCCATCAATGCCAGCTCTGTCTCTTTCCAATCATGTGCCCTACAACAAAGTACCATCCTCTGCTGGAATCTGCCACCAGACTCTCTCCTGTTTCCTCCGCATCACATGGCAGGAGAAGAGAAGGCACCGCGTCATCCGTGCAAATGCATTCATTCAGCTGGAAGTTGAGCTCACGCAGCGTGTGTGACCGCCATGATGGATGTTGCACTGTTGACTCTGTCACAGCGGAGCGGCACCGAAGCCCAAATCCAATCTACTGACAGAGGCCTGTGTGGCACACAAGGCACCCAGTGTAGGCAGATCAATGAACGGCTGTAGCATGAAGTCCATTATCAGGTGCCCAGAAAGACAGTTTATGTTGAAGAAAACTGTGACGGGTTCCTGGAACTGGGACCTGTGAGAGCCTGAAGATCTGAAGAAGAATGAACTCTGATTGGGTTGATGTTGACGTCATTTAATACTGTATGGTTATAGAAGATCTACACCATGGTTATAGAAGATCTCATTATGGTTATAGAAGATCTCGTGATGATGTTTTAGAAGATCTCACCATGACTCAGATTTCATCTTGGTTATAGAAGATCTCATTGTAGTTATAGAAGATCTACACCATGGTTATAGAAAATCACACAATGATTTTTAGAAGATCTCACCATGGTTATAGAGGATCTCATTGTGGTTGTAGAAGATCTCACGATGATTTTTAGATCTCACCATGACTCAGATTTCATGTACTGCTCAAAAATCCAGATCCACTTCAATCATTCAATTTCATGTTTTTTTTTAATGCATTTCAAATGTCAAATAAAAAACAAAATCAAGTCAAATTAAAATTGACAGTTTTAGGTTTAATGAGCGCCGCTCAGAATAAGTCTATAAATCATACAATTAAAGATCTAGTAATTGAGTCATTAATTCATCTATCACCGATGAATCCCATTCACGGAGACGGTGGGAGCTGGAGTCTGTCCCAGGGTCACAGTCAGGTCATCACTGCCCCAAATGAGGGCAAAGACAAAGAACACTTCAAGCTCACATCAAAACCTGTGATTAAATTACAGTGAAGAATGGAAGGTGACGAAGACGGGACTGAAACTGACGACCTCCTGGTTGGACAGAAGTACTGCAGACTGTAGCTCTCCTACATTGTTACGGTGACTCAAGTGTGTGTGTGTGTGTGTGATTGCATCTGTCCTCAGCAGACTTTGGCTTTGACACATAAATGAATCAGAGTTAACCTTTCCTACAGTCACTTCTTATTATTCAGCCTTGAATATTCAACTTCAACTCAACGGTGACGCTGGGAAAAAACTGCAACATCGAAGGAACGTCAACGTCGATCTCCTGACCCTGAACCACCGTGACATCACAGTCATCGCAGTGACAATGAAGCCAGACTACATTAGCAACAGTCTCTGTTCATCAGACACAAATGTGCGAACATCTCACAGAGTTGTTCCTGAACAGAAAGATCATAGTAATCGTAATTAATGACAACCACGATTAATCTTGATGAATCTTAATGAATCCACCCTGAGTTTATTTTCAGTTCTCCTACTACATGATTTGACATTTATATGAGGCTGTCAGCACAGCAATAAAGAAGAAAAATGTCTTTTTAATTTACACATTTAATATGTGATATAAAAAATGACCTCCTCTCTATCTTGGCTGTGATTGGTTCATGAAAAATGAGATATTTATCAGCAGAGACATGAGTTCCTTCAACACTGACGTGCGTGTGATGAAACGGTCCTAAATTCATTCTCCCCTCTCTTCATCTGGTTATCTCTGAATTCACAGAACGTTACATTCATTTCAACCTCACAGCACTGACATCAGATGTATATATTTAGCTCCGACTGAATCCTCTGCAAAACACAGAGAACAGTCACTGACGGAGGACTTCCTGCTCCATCACCTCCAACAACAACGGTGTCGCCCTTCATCCTGTCCCTGCAGACGCGGGGCCTGTTAGCACACGGCTGCGACGGCTAATTGGTTCCAGACCTTCACCTGTACTGCATTATAAGTCATCCAGATATACTTAATTTACGCCCCCATCAGGTGGGCCAGGGGTACTCCCCCCCCCCCTCCAATGAACCATTCACACTCACATTCACACCTGAGGTAAATTCAGAGGGAGCGCTCAAGCAGATATTTTCTGCTGTCTGCTCCAGACAGTCGCTGTTTCACTGCTGCCCACACGACCTTGAGATTCCACGATCAGGAGGAGGAGACATGACTGTCTTCTGCAGGTGCGTCAGGCTGGGGTTTTTTTTTTGTTTGTTTTTTTTTTAGGAGCTGCATGTCTATTTACAGATTTGTCACTATGTTAAAGTCCAGGATAAAAAAAAAGCTGCATGTCTATTGGTCAGTGTTTCCCCCAAGACATTATGGTCAGAATTGTCCTTAATGTTAGCCATGTTTACTACACATAGTTACAAAATCAAGCGTTCTTGCAAAGTACAGTAAAATCATTTGTGAAATGAATCAGTCTCAAAATATTCAAAGCATTTTAACCCACAAACAGAAACACACCCACTCCATATCCAACAATTCCACCATCCATCCAGTTATCGCAGATTTAACGTGGAGTCGATTCACACGCTGTTATTTACACACGCTGCAGGAAAATGTATTCATTTCACCAAAGTATCTTGAGCTTAAAATATCATGTATCAGGTTTATTTGAGTTTTGAAAGAATCTCTCAATTCATTCCACCAGCATTTTTGCGTAACAATTTTGCACATTTTTCAAAAAAATATTAGTATTAGTTTAACAACATACATGTGTCTCTCTGTTTCAGTGATATATTTAGCAACATTATTTTTATCCTGATTAATCGTGATTCATCATGAGACTCATTATCCACAGCCACCCTGTCATTCAACTACCGTGTTCTGGTGCCGTATATATATTTGCAGATCTGATGTAGATATGATGCAGACTGAGTGTCTGCTCAAAGGTGTGAGTTAAGGATGTGGGTGTCAAAGTGCTACAACGTTGCATAATAACAACCCTTTTTTTCTGTTCGTGACAAGTAACATATTTAATTTCTAGAAAAAACAAAAACAAAAAAAACAGCTTTTCAGTCTGTGATGTCTGTGAAATACTTCAGCAACAACTACTGTTGTAAGAGGAACATAAAGAAAGTCCTCACTTCACAGCAATTTGGACCGAGCTGCAGAGCTGGTTAGGAAACTCTCACCTGTCAACATCAGATGCTGATTTACTTAAACTTAGGCTTTCTGAGTTTATTTATCAGCCGTTCAAAGCTGAAAGGGTCAATAAAAACATGTAAAGAGTCATTTGAACACTATAAGAGTGACACGGAAATATATTTAGTCTAAACTTGTGGCAGGTTTGGTTTTTAGTCATTGTTTTTCTTTACATCTCTCTTCACTTCACTTAACTACCCCGTCTTCCCCTCCAGGGGGAGCTATATATATATGTATATAGTTTGAATGGCCTGATATATATATATACACAAATACATATATGTATGTATATATACAAATACATATATATTTATATATGTTTATATATATATATATACACACAAATACATATATGTATGTATTTGTATATGTATATGTATGTATATATACAAATAGAAAATACATATATATATTTGTATATATAAAATATATAAAAAATATATTTTGTATATATATTTGGTTTTTTTTTCCACTATTAGAAGTGGAGAAGTTCAGACGAGAGGCCAAAACTTCACGTCCACCTTCTGCTGATTCAACATTTGCCTCGCTCTGACCTGGACGACTGAGAATCCAAACAATCTCTCGTTCTCCGCTCTGTAGTTTTTGGCTTTTTTGTTGTTCAGAAAGGAACAACAGTTGACACGACTATGAACAAAACAGGACAGACCTCAGACAGCTCCACTGACTTATGTAGAAAAAAACCCCACACACATTACTGTTGTCATTATGACACTTTGGTTTAGCATTAGTTTTAGTTGTGGTTCAAACCTCGGCTGATTGACTTCTACTACAGTGGTTTTCAACCTTCAACCTTCTCCTCTGACGTTCCTACTGAGGAACATCAGAGTCACAGTTATTACACCTTAATAAATCTGACTCTGAGAGGTGAGAAAAAAAACAACTTATTGATGTAAATCTCCTCCTGAAATACTGCCACCTTGTTGTGATCAACATCGCTGCACGTTTCAATCTCAACTTTGTTTCAGTTGTAGAGGCTGGAATGATTGACAGGTGTGGACTAGAGTCTGGATTCAGGAAAATAAAACCTAGCGTATGAACTTGCAGCTAAAGTATATTTAATTCAATATTTATTATATATTTTCTAAATTGATGATACACACAAGCACACACAGACCAGCACACATCTGTATGTATCTATATATATACATAAAAGTCTAATATATTTGACATATTTTAAATTACTCTATCATTAAGAACATGTTAAAAAACGAATTAACTTTTGATTAACTTGATTTGCAGATTCTTTTGCACCTAATAAAAAAAATAAATTCCTAAAAATGCTCTTGAAGGAGCAGCTGTGAAACCCTTGTGGACAAAGAGAATATTCTGATATTAAAACATCACACACATACTGTAGTCGTGTAAGTACAGGGTATGTGAACCCCCACTTGAGAACCACTGCTCCAGGACAAAGGGTCAATTTTGGACTTCATTTTGGAATTAATCCAGATTTTCTTCTACCCCCCTAAAGAAGAAATAATCAAATATATAAAAGCAGATTCTACAGCTCACAGTGTGACTAGTGTGGCACCGAGAAACCCACGGACCACGAGGGGCACGACAGTCATGAATGTCATGTCCACTCTGTCTGCAGCTGGACCCGGGACTCCGAGTGTCTTTAATTGACAACAGTCCACAGCGAAAAACAACAACATCCATCGACAGTGCGATAAATGTGACACCGAGGGGGGTCTTTGGGGGGTGTTGGGGGTGGGGGTGATGTTATATAACAAGAGAAGCAGTTTGGATTATTTGTAATGAAAGCAGCACGTCATGTCACGTCACGTCACGTTAGTGAAGTGCAGATGATGTAAAATGAGCAGGATGGGAACAGCATCAGCATCAGCATCAGCATCAGGATCAGCATCTCTCTACGGCTCTTACCGGACCGGTACCGACGTCCTCCAACCTCCAACTCCAAATAGCTCCACACAGACCCTGGATCCCGCTCAGTGCTCACCCCCTGGGGTTGCCGTGCCGTGCCGTGTCGCCCTCTACCTCCGAGCGCCTTTCCTTCCAACGCTGTTTATTGTCATGTGTTTCTCACGGAGTGAATTTGCCCCTGTAATCTTTCACAGAAGTGGGCTGTTAAAAAGCTGCCCAGGACCCGCCCACCGCACGGCACTGTACCACACGCGCGCACGGCGACCCCAATCAAATTTGGCTGCTCTCTCTCTCACTCTCTCGCTCACTCTCTCTCTCTCTCTCTCTCTCGATCGACGTAGGACACTCTCGGTAGCGCGCCCGCCTGTTTAACCGTTAGTTAGAATTGTCTTCGTGACGTCACATCGACATGTGTGAAGTCGTGCCTCTGGGAGTCTGTGTCTGTGTTGATGGATTTAAAATATTCACCAAACGTTGCGTCATGAAAAAAAAAAAGCGTCGTAAAAATTGCGGCCCAATCACTGGGTTTTCACTGGTGCACCTGACGTCATTTTTTTGGACTTATAATCAAATGTAATCGTGTATAAATATCCAGAGATTCTGACTTTTTATTTTCCCCCACTTTTTTCTGTAGTAAAACTGTGGCTCTGAGCCGTTTGTAGCCTATGCTAGGCTAACGTAACTCACTGTGAGGAACAGATGCAAACAGCCGTTGAAAGTATTATTTTAAGTCGTCAAGATTAAAAAATAAACACTTTTTTTTTTAGTTTGTTTCATTCTTTGGTCAAAACAATGGCAGAAACTCTCAGTGTCCATGAAAAATCCAAACTTTAAATAGTCATTGTTTTACTTCCTGTGTTTGGTTGCAGTAGTAGAGTCGTTCTCATTCTTTCTCGCGAATGCTAGCTTTCTGATAGCACTGTACACAGACACAAGAGGGGAATAGAACTGTGGGTAGAAAAGTACGTGAAGCGAATCAGCCTGTGACGACAGGCTGGAACTGAACCATGGGTAGTCACTGTTTACTGTTACTCTAAAAAATATTTCACCTCTGATTAAGGAACACTTTCAAAGAATACTAGTATAATAGTAATAGTAGTATCTCAGGATAATAGTATTACTGTACTATCGTAGAATTACCTTTAAAAATGGAAAATATACTATGCTATAATGAGGTAACTGATTTAATGCATTTGATGGTATGTTTGAAATTTATACTATAATTGGTTCTAGTGTAGTGGTTAGCACACCTGCCTTTCAAGCCCAAAGTCCTGCGTTCAATTCCCAGACAAGCTAAATCTTTGTCACCTCCAGGGGGCAGTCTGGTGCGTCACATTTGCTTTTAACACAAGAATATGGTTACTACAGAACGCTATAAAATTATTATTATTATTTTAATTGCTCATGATCTACACGATATTCCCATAGTGA